ATTAAAATTAGCTCTTTTTATTGGTTATTTTGATAGTTGTTGCTTGCCAGTCGTCTTCAGCTAAACTACAACTAGGACTTGATTTAGTCGTAGTTAGAACTTCTACTACGTTTGTTTGTGAATACAATTTGAAGTTGAAGTTGCAACTAAGACTAAATGAAGCTCTAGTTCGAAGTTCGACTAAAGTTCGTTTTAAGAATACGGGCGTTAATATCAGTTACAGTTGTATAGAGATCTGGATATAACCTATTTATTTTATTTTTTTCTTCTTTAAAAAAAAAACAAACATTTTATATAAACCTTGTGTTTTAGCGTTTTTATTATTTGTGGCCTATGTATTTTATTTTGTACATCACTAGAATTTTATTTTTCATATGGGCTATATCTAATGTAAATGAAACTAAAAGTGGGTTAACCACAAAAAAGAGGAAAGAAAATAACACATAGACCAAGAAGAGAGCAACAAAGAAAAAACATTCCTAAAAAATAACATAAATAATATCAACTAGGCCTACAGTATATCCATGAGAAAAAAAAATACTTTGTTGATTTGATATTGTATTAAATTTTCCAAACATAAATACATCAAAAAGACATACATAAATTATAGAGAGTACAGTATTACAATAGTCACACCTACTGTATTGCACATAAGGTTCAAATAAGACCAAAAGAATTTTACAGTATACACTTTTTAAACATACTACCTTTCTAGTATATTAATAAAAATCTCACTTGACATTTGACCTCAGCCTCAATTTGTTCTTATTTTTTAAGCAATTTCAGCCTCAGTGTTTATTAGAAATCACCTAATTTTAATATATAGTGATATGTTACAGTTTCGTACAGATCTGGATTTTTCTTTCTATTTTTTCTTCTTTTTCAAAAATACATTTTATATAAAACCTTGTGTTTTAATGTTTTTATTATTTGTGAACTATTCTTTATTTTATTTTGTACATCATTGGAATTTTATGTTTTTATATAGGCTATATCTAATATTCTCCTAATGACGGAATCTCACCAAACCTTAAATAAATAGCCTCAGTGTCCTTAGTCTTATACAATGTGTTCTTAATAAAAGTGTAGTGTGAGCAGAAAGTACCGTAGTAGACAATTCCAGAAGTGCCTGTGTAAAAAACGAATATACAGTACTGTACAAGCTTGATAAGATACAGTACAGTATTTAACATTATCTTTCATCAGCAGTTTACACCAAGAGCTTTTTAACAATTATATCTATTCTCTACTCTTCGTTGAAAAAAAAAAAAATTAATGGTTAAAATTTTAAATTTAAATTCACATTTGATAAATTGGTAACCTTTGTTGCATTATGAACATCATTATTGCAAGATAAATATTATCTAGATTAAAAGTTGAGCCAAAGGAGAAAGTTTACCTGCACACACTCCTCTGAGCTATCACATTATGTCTGGCACAAGGCCTTCCATTGTACCCAGGTGAACACTGATTTATATATTCTTAAATTTAATATGAACTAGTTCCCAATAAATCTAAAGCCCTGAACAGCTGGTCTATGATCCATATGCTTTCATAATTATCACAAGAATTATGGAGCTATGTAAACTACACTTGTTGAATCTATTCTTTTTCAGAGAATATTAAGCCGGGCAACTTCCTGCGTCGTATGACCGTGGTCGTATGACAGTCCCACGATGAAACCAACTCTGTTCCGTATGTGCGCCAGACGAGGCAACGCCATCTGCTGATTGCCAGCGGCAGTTTGAATGAATTGTCACAGAAAACTATCCGTCACGCACGCGTTGTTGCGTCGCGTTCTCTATAGAATCGCATTGACCAATGACCGACGGGGGCGCAGTAAGTGCCCGGCTTTAAACATGCGTTCTTTTTAAATGCAACGGCAAGTTCATGACTTCATAGTTCCCTAGTCAACCAGTCAACTTACATTGAATTTGACAATTATTATCGACCTTGAAAATACATATTAAAAATACATTCTACACAAATGTATTTCGGTCTTGCTAATATGAATATTTACTGCTGTAATCTTTAAATTGATTAGCCAATTTAAAGTGAGGCCCACCCAAGGCTCCGTTCTGGGGCAATAGTATATTATAAACATGACTACACACTCATTGAAAGTATGAGGGGGAAAAAAAAAAATCAAAATTTTAACAATTTTCGTATGATTTTCTTTATGCAATTCCTTTTGTTTTTTTAAAATTTTTATTAATTTTTTTTTTGTTAAGGAGGAGGCTGATTTATTAACCACTCACTCATTATGTAGCTTCTCAAGATTTGTTTGTAATTTTAATAAAATAAATCAACTAAATACAATAAACAGACCTATATAACAAAATAAAAATTTGAGTTAAATTTTGATCAATTTTGTAACATCACTAACGGCCAACACACCTGAACAATAAGTTTTACTTTACATTACCTTTTTGTACAGAAAGAAGAAAAATGTTTATATATTTCTTAGTTTTCTTTTCATAAATTAATTCATTTGCTGGGTGGCTTTCATGCTTGCGACCTCTGGTGTTGATGAGATTCTCCAAGATCCTACAATTTCAATTTTCTTTTATACTTGTAATGTAATAATAATTTGTAGGATTAAATATATTGATTTGTGATTATGATTAATAAGAATAGCTATATGGTTCTTATTGTGTAGGTATGATTGTTGATAGTGTCACAGAATAACAATAATAAACTGGTTCTTTAAAAATCTTAAATGATATTTTAATGTATAAGAAGCCAGACAATTTATTAAAATATTAATAATTTATTTATTTTTATTTATTCGGTATAAAAAACATGAATTACAAACAGCAGCCAAGGCTGAAATTGTTTGTTTAAAGTAAAAGAAACTAAGAAAAAAGACTAAAAACAAGCATAAATGAAAGTTGTACCAGTTTGTTGTTAGGCCTTGTCAAGCTGACTGAAAAATAATTGTAAGATAGACCGGTGTTGAAAACAAGAAAATGTATGAAAATAAAAGTTTCATTGCAAATGGTCCCCTCTGATTAAATACTACTTTGGGATAGTCATTCTGAGTACTGCAGTTATGGTTTCAATATAACTAGAGTAGATCTAATGAATACAGAGCCCTGCAGAAAAATGGTACAAAATTAGTGGGAGGGGTCCCCAATTGAATTGAAAGGTTATGTGTTATATTGAGTGGCAATTATGTACATTGAGACCACAGTAGCAATGGATCAGAAAAAGGTCAAACATAATATATTAAAAAGAGAAAGTAATCCTTCACTAATTTATTTTAAAAAAAACCAAAAAAAACCCCATTATTATAACATTTGTCATCACTGTCTTGACTATGTCATCAGCCACTCTGCTTATACTGTACCAATCACCATAGTGTTGAAAACTGTGCCACTAAATTATAGGTTGGATAAATAGGGGGCCATTAGCACAAAATGGTGATTTTTGTGAATATAACATTAGGCCCTATAAAAAATATTATTACTATCTGGGCAGGAAAAGTGATGAGGGAGGGAGGCTTTTTTTTATATTTTTTATTTTGCTAAAGCCAAATATAACCCCTGGTTTGTTTGCTGGTGCATTGATATTCGAAGTAAAACATGATTTAGATAATGCAAACAATATCTACTAACTATTTAATAAAATAAATGAAAAAAATAAATAAATAAAATTTTTAAAAAAAATGTTCAAACATTTTTTTTTTTTCAAAAAAAAATTTTTTCACAATTTTTTTTTTCAGTACCATAAAAGGCATGCACGCAAGGGAGATAAACTAATAATTTTTTTTATTGGGCCTTAAAATCTAATTTGATATGTACTATACTTTTACAATATGTAGTAGGTATATTAGTGTTTTTTGTGGGCCCATAATTTATGATAAGTATAACAGTACAGTAAGCAAAGTATAAATGATGTTTGTTATTGTTTTTATATTTTCTTTACCATGGTTATTTTGGAAGAAAGCACATTTAACAACTCACAATTTGTTATACTCGGCATAGACAACGTAAAGGATGCAAAAAAATGAATAACTACCTGTTTCTAAGGTTTTCCAAGATATCTACACACTATTTAAAAAAAATATTTAAGCAATTAAATAATGATGATGATGATAATGATTAATTTATGATGATATCCATATTAAAGATGTTAAAACTAAAAATTAGATAAAACCTTTTATCAGTAGCATGTGATTGTTAAACAATTTTCTTAATTTTATTCAATTCTGAATTATAGAAAACTATGAAACAATTGCAAACAAAACAAAGCAGAATATATCATTTTATCAATGTTACAAATTTCCTCAAAACTTGCATCAATTGTTGATTTGTATGTAATCGTTAACTGTTTTAATGTACTGGAATGTTCAGTATAAGTCCCAATAATCACCCTATACTAGGCTGGAAAAAAGTGATGAGGGAAGGAGACTTTTTATTTTTATTTACTTTGCTAAAGCCAAATTATATCACCCTTGAGATGTTTGCTGGTGCATTTATATTCGAAGTAAAATACATGATTGAACAAACAATATCTACAAACTACGGTATTTTCTTTACTAAAAATAAGCAAAAAATTTTTTATTAAATTAAATTTTTTTTTTTTTTTTCCCCTCCAAAATGTTTTTTTTTCTTCAGTATCATAAAAGAAATGTGGGTGGGGTGATAAACTAATCACTTGTTTTTTATTGGGCCTAAGTATTTTTTGGATAATAAAGTTATGTGTCTGTAATGCTGACTACAGTTATAGAATGGAGAAAAGAAAGCACTATCTTACGATTACCACCAATGATGACAATAGTTGAATACAATTCTACTCAGTATGATGATTTGTACTCCTTCCTTGTTGATACTTATTACCTACACCATCTTTTTTTTATCAACAAAATGTTTTTAAATAAAAAGGACTAGGCCTACATCAGTTTAAAGATAAGAAACAAAACAAGGGACAATACAAAACTTTACACAGTTCAAAAGTATGATGATTTACTGTACCTCAAAAGAAAAACTATTGCTTACCTATCTCTGTTATTCCAAGAGACAGAAACAAACATTGATAAATCCAAATTTCCTAAGCCAGGAAATGTAGCAAGCAGTATTTTTCACAAGAAGCCTGCAGAGGAATGATCATGTGGGCTGAGCTAACATCAGAGAGCTAGCAGGCCTAAACCAATCTCAACCTTGCCTGCTGTATTCAGTTACCAACTCCTGGTGTTGATGGTGCTCTAACTTTTAATGATTTTGCCCCCAAGCAGTTTTAATTTGGATGTGTGGAAGTGAAGAATGCCTTTGCTGGATCCAGTCTGTTTTTTTACTCCTCCTCCTTTAACAGCAGGGTGTGGAAGTGGATAATATATCAGGTTTCTGAATAACATCTAAATTCACAGTTCTCCAGCAAACACTTCTCACCACTTGCTTATCACAATCACTTAACATTAAATGAAGTGGAATCTACTTCCTTATGAAAAGTTGAGCGATAATAATAACTTTGTTCCTACTGTAAAAGCGCAACTGTAATGAGCTAAGTGTATACCATGGAGGTATTATAGTAATACTATAGTACTTCGCTAGTATATATATCATTTACTATTGGAGTGACTGAAGTGTACTGGCACAACAAATTGTTTTATCACAATTTTTAAATAGAAAAAAAAAAATCAAATTTATCTGTTCCAGCAATTAGTTTTCTTTGAAGGGTTCCTGAAAGTATAAACTAACACCTCCAATCTACTTAATAACTTAACATTGTTATACTTGGACTCTATTTTCGTATACAATTTAAATTGATTTATTTAAGTCAGTATAATTAGGGGATGTTTTTCATAAAAAATTTAAAGCCAAAATAACAGCAAGAAAATCCTGAAACAATTTTTACTGTTTATTTTACACAGTTTTCAATTATGCATTTTAGGCCAAATAAAAAAAAATACTAGTTTCTAGTCCCCGCACACATCCATTTTCTCTGCCTCACCAAGTTTTGTATTTTTTTTTCTATTCATTTTATGAAATGTACGAAAATCTGGCTAACTCACATCAATAAAATTCCTCTCTGGATTGTTCATGGTTGGTTGGGGATACATTTGGTATGAATCATTTCTACAGAAAGTGCTTCTTTCATTTGCTTTCAATGCATATGTATTTGGTAAAGTGAGAAAATAGTAGCTGTTTCCCATTGACCATCTTGGATTTGCCATCTCGGAAAAAATTTTCCCCCCAAAAAGTGCTCTCATTCTCCTTTTTAGTTCCTATGCATGTAATGCAATAGGAACTATTGTAATCACTCTTGCTATTTCCTATGTTTTTTATTGTGTGTAGTGTGTATGTGTGTGTGTAGACATTTATGCAAACTGGCTAACTCACATCAATAAAATTCCTCTCTGGATTGTTCATGGTTGGTTGGGGATACATTTGGTATGAATCATTTCTACAGAAAGTGCTTCTTTCATTTGCTTTCAATGCATATGTATTTGGTAAAGTGAGAAAATAGTAGCTGTTTCCCATTGACCATCTTGGATTTGCCATCTCGGAAAAAATTTTCCCCCCAAAAAGTGCTCTCATTCTCCTTTTTTCAAATTTCACTATTAGGAAGATAAACTACTTTTTTTATTACTTGGATATAAATATGGGTTTCAATTAAAGCCCTTGAAAAATTAGAACAAGAAAATATTTAATAAATTAATATGTTATAAATTTCCAATGAGACTAAGATGTAAACTGTTTAAGTTGCAAAAAAAAACATTATAAATTGATTACCATCAAATTTGTTTTACACCAAAAATTTGTGAGAAAAATATTTTCTTTGTTTTAATAACTTAAACACAGTCCAAGAATATAGCTTGAACTTTGAAAGGCAAATTTTATTTATTAAGCATTCAAAAAAGTCAAGTATGAACACCCATGCTGCTATTTTGTTGGTTTTTTTCAATAGTATTACTTTAAATATTTTTGTTATGCCGTCATATAATACAAACAGTCAATGACAAATAGAAGTTACTAGTAAACTGTATTAAATTACTAGCTTTTACTTTTCTTCATCTGGTGAACTTTATTATAGGTAAGTTTAAGTAATTACTATATGATTTATCTTCTTATTTATTATCTCAATTATTATGTTAATATTAACTCATTTTTTACACTTTAACTTTCCTTTAAATAATGTACTTTTTTAGTTTACTGTAGTTTGTTTAGTTCCTTATTAATTATTACAATTAGGGGTTTACTTTAATTTTGTTTCATTTTCTGTATTTTTAAAAGTATGACCATACTGAAATCTGTGAATGACACCGTTCGAAAGGTGAAATTTTGCAAACAAATAAATAATTAAAATGTTCTTATTTTGTCTATATACTCTGCTGAAGCATTATTGAGTTCAGTTTCATGTCATCCATATTGTACTCACTGACAAATTATATTTTTAGCTCCACATAAACATTATTTTGACAGCAAGAATGTTATGAAGCCATTTACTTCTTTCTTCAGATTTATTTTAAAATTAAACAAAATGCCTTCAACATTTCAGTAACATTATTTAGGTATAAATTCCATCATTGTAGGCAAAACATCCAATTAAAAGATGGTTTCTTATTACAATCATTAACCTGCAAACCCCATCAAAATAAATCAAATTACAGGGAACTTTCTGGAATAACTTGTTGGTCTGTTTTATTTCATTTGGAATTACTGTAGGCTTTAGGAGGGCTCTGTGAATATATCAAGGTTAAACAACCAATTTGCAACAGTAGCGAAACTGGAGGTGCTTAACCAGTAAGTGGCAAGTGCCACTGTTACAAAAGGTGTATTATAATTAAATTAATTGTTATTACTACTGATATTTTCCTAAATGTGTGAATACTTTAAACATTCTTTTCTGTGTTAACAGTTTTGTTATGTGGTCACTGCAAACAGAAATTAAAGTATTAAGAGTGAATTATATATTTAAAGTATGACTTTTTATGTCAATCATTTTTATGTATTTTTCGTTTGGATTCTTAAAACATATAAAAAATATTACAAGATGCAAGAGTTAATAAAGTAAACTACAACTGTATCAAGATTTTTTTTTAATTTGGATTCTTAAAATAGAAAAAATATTACAGTAGAAGCGTTAATAAAGTACTCTAAACTGTATCAAAAAACATTGATAGAGATATACAGTGTTGAATAGATACGTGATACAAAGAAGAATACATTTTGCATTCATAGTTAACTTTATTTATCCTTTCGGAAATTCAATTTGAGTACAATTGCTCAAATGTTAATAAGAAAAGGAAAACATTGTACAAAATATATAAAGTTTTTATATAAAAATTATCTTAATCTACAGTAGGCCTAAATTGAGTTATTAAATACAGTAACCTGATGATAGTGTAGAATATGGAACAAACAAATTTGAGAAATGTTTTGTACTGCATCAAGCAGACTTTGAAGCTGGTCACTCACTTTGCTTGACAGTTGATGGCTGACGCGATTCTATAAAGAACGCAATGCCACAATGCACGCAAAGGATAATTTTTAATGACTACCACCGCCAATCAGCTGCAGACGGCATCACATTGCGGAGTTGGATTCATCGGCCGGCGGTCATGGGTGCCCAGCTTAAGTCATCCACTGGGATCTTTTTAACCATTGATAACATTTACTACTATACGAAGTGGATGATCTTTGTCTTGCATTATGGCTATATTCATGAACTTTCCCATCATCAATTAAAAGATTTTGTACATACAGTATATACCAAACTTAAAATTTTCATCACCAACTTTAGTGACAAGTTGATTTTTCAATAGCAAAGATAGTGATGATAACCATAGTTACCATGGGTGCACAAGATAGAAGGGAAAGTAAATTGATGCAACTACAGTGTACATTTTTAAAATCTGAAACAATACTTCACGCTTTTTTTTATATATTATATAAGAACCAAAACAATTTTCCCCAAGCTCAGTTTTCTTACTTTTTTGCGAATTTTAGGCTCAAAATGTTCTTATTTTGTTAACACACTCTTCAAAGATAGAAAATTATTATTGTATCATATTAAGGAAGGATATTACTATTGCAGTCACACCTACAGTACTGTAAATTGTATTGGTCTTTCTTTCTTGGTTTTAAAGTTTAAATAAAAAAATAAAAGTTTAAATAAAAAAATAAATAAATAAACACCATTTGACATTTTACATCAATTTGTTCAATACATTTGTTTTTATTTTTTAAGCAATTTCAGCCTCGGTGTTCTTATAAAAAGTGTTCTTACATCATTAAAAAACAAAGTGTACGTCTATAAATAGGTTTATGGTTTTTTTTTAAAGCTAAAATTTTAAAGCTAAAAAATAAATTCATGCCTTTCTTCCTTCACAAAGATGTTGAAAATAAACACTTCTTTAATACCAAAACTATTACTGTAATTACAACAATTACATATCTGGTCTACTCATTGTTTAGTCCACTATTAATTGGTAGAATATTTTCCAGGCTCTTAATAAATGTTCATTCATAATACTGTACTTTAAAAGAAAAAAGGTTGCCAAAAATAGATACAGATTTTTGAATATTAAAAACTGGGGGAAAAAAGGGGTGTAACCACCCTTTTTTCCACCTTTCAGTTTTCGTCATAATATGCTTTTTATCTCTTAGAAAATTCATTTGTACAACATATCAAACATTTTTTTTCTAACTAAAAATTAGATTGAAATACAAAAATTGCTACACCATAGAGAATACAGTATCTAATTTCAGTTTGACCAACAGATAGGCAACTGGTTTAAGGTGGTTTAAGGAAAACATGCCTTAACTAAATTCCATCAACATTATGACCCCATGCAATAAACAGCTAAGTCACATGATCTTACTGTATGACCAACAGCCAAGTGCAACCTGTTCTAAAAATAACCTCAAAAGATTTTCAGTACCTGAACCAATTTAGTGTTGAATGGATTACAATATGGCAATTTTATTTTATTTTTTTTTAAAGAGCAATTACAAGCCTAATGAAATAATTCATAAACAGAAAATGTTACTAATTTAATTATTCCATCTTATCACTTTCCATTGTCATAACTAGCATTTTAGGCCAAATAAAATTTATTGTTAGTTTCACGTTTGGGATTTAAATTATTTTTTGGTGAGGTATTTACTATTTATTATCTAACTAATGGTAAACAGGCTGATAAATAGTAAAAATTGTTTTTTTTTTTTTTTAATTAAAAAAAGTATAAATGAATCTTTGTAGTAATGTATTGTGTCATTTATGTTCCCACCTCTTCTTAAGCTTAACATCATTCTTTC